AATGACTTGAGTATTACCAAATTCTTCAGAAGGAATTACTAATTATTTGGATCGGTATTCTAAAGTGAAGATCATGATAACTCCCTAGTAATTACTGAAGTCATTGTAAACTTTTGAGGTTTTTGTAAAGTCCTGGTTAGTAATTCATTTTGGTAGCTTTGGTAACACTTAAATCATTACTAGTGGGTTACCATGATCTTCACTTTAGAATACTGATCCAAATAACTAGTAGTTTCTTCAGAAGGATGTAGTAACACTTGAGTCATTACTATCCAAAACCTTACATACATCTCAACTGCTTACAATGATGTCAGTCAATATTAGGGAGTTATGATGATTTTCACTTTAGAATAATGATCTAAGGCTGCATTTACACTTGGCATTAACATGCGACCTGTATCCGGATGTTGTCCACATACACATTGAAAAGACACGTGTAAACGCGCTTCTGATCGGAATGTTATCCGATCAGTATGTCCTGGTCCAGAGGTAGTCGAGGACGCATTGTGATTGGATCTCAGTGTAATGTAAACGCAATCCAGCCATCGTGTCTGCATTGGCAGGTCGACATCACGCAAACGCCACCCCCCTCTCTCCCAATCTGTCGGAAGAACAGAGCGCTAGTGAGACTCGTACATTTATTTTGATTTGTAAAATGTCCCGCGACTGAAAATAGTTTTCAAAAGAAAACCCACCACTTCAGGTCGACTTTGCACCGCAGACTTATTTAAATATTGCACGGGAAATACAGATCCGATCGGTTATCCAGATCGAGAAGTCAGCTGATGTTGCCAAGTGTAAATGTGCTGTGTTCTGATTGACTGATGATCCGATCTGCTTGATCAGATCACGGTGATCGCATGTTAATGCCAAGTGTAAATGCAGCCTAAGTAATTAATAGTTCCTTTAGAAGGATTTGTTAATACTTGAGTCATTACTAGTGAGTTCCCATGACCTTCATTTTAGAATTAATTATTCGTTATGCATAATTCACATTAATTATGAAAATGTATACAGTAGTTCTTAGGAGTTCTCCAGGATATATGAAAAAAAATTTTTTTTTTTAATTATTGATTAGCTAATAGTGAACTACCAGTTTCAACTGAGCGCTATTACTTACTAAATCATTAATCAGAGATTCTTGTTAGGTAATAGTAGTTACTACAATGATAATAGTGCATTAGTAATTTTTTCCCTGTGTAGTTATTCATTAATGACGGTTGGCCTGTCGCAATAATCAATATATCGACTTATCGCGCAATATATGTATATGACCTCAATAATTTTTAGTGACGCAATATATCACCCATTATATTTACTTAAAAATTAATGTCACCATGTTTTGTACATTCCACTTGCGCCTGTGTCTTTTGCAGCTTCTCATACATAACGTGGTGTAGTCACGAGGTGCTAGCACAAATTTAAAAAATGATTCTACAAACAAAGTTCTATCTGCAGATATGGTCTAGTTTAGGGATCTGTGCCTTTGTGCATATGGACATCTGACTGCTAAGTAGTGATTGTGTTTTTCAGCAATAGTGTGCACCCTTAATTTACAGAGAAAAGGTCAGGGAAAAATCTGTAGATGGAAAAATCTCCAGAGAAGTTCTTTGTGCATTTTTCTTTTTTTCTACCTGTTACTTTGCACTTTTTGTTAGAAATAGTTTATTTACTATTTATTCAGATTTTTTAAGGTATCTAATATTTTGATACTTAATTTCCATGATCTAAATATTCTTAAAAATTAAAAGTTTGTTGTCATTTGGAAGTGTGTAGGCCTTCTTGCATTATTATGCTGTTACATTATGATTATATATTCAGTGGCATAAAATGGTCTTTAAAATGACAATAATATCGCTTATCGCAATTATTTCTGGGGCAATATATCGCAGAACAAAAAGTTGATATCGTGACAGGCCTAAATGACGGAACAGTATTCTAAATTGTTACAGAATTAATATATTTGCGGGTCCTTGGCATCAAACATTTAAAAAAAAAAACACTGATCCGTGGACAGCGCTTTCTGTCTCTCTCACACACAAGACATTTACACGCAAGCGACTAAAAAAACAAATTTTTATTTTTTTTAAAAAACACGCTCTTTCTCTTCCTCTATATATTTAATAACTGCATAGCAATGCCTACAAATAACTGAAACAAAAGGCTACTTATTGGGAGGCTAACTTTGAGAAAATTAAGCTGTGTCATGAATAAGCAGTCATTCGCACTGACAGTAGGCTATTTTAAGATTTTATTTTTCAATCATGAATATCCACTTCATCAGCATTGTTTTGTTCTCTGTTGTTGTTTAACAGCTGTGAGCTTGCTGATAGATGTATTTTATCATTTTGTTGATTTTTGCTGTTTTTGTGCAATTAAAAGGTTTAAAATGCGTGACACTTTCGCTCTGCTTGGTGTTGCTGTCACTGATCGTTTGGTCCTCAAGTCTTAAAGACGTGTAATAGTTACATTCTCAAGATACTGAATTGAACTGAACATTTAAATGCCGTTTTTGACCAAAAAACAAAAAAAAGTCTGTGCATACCCTCTAGGGATGTAACGATTCACTCAACTCACGATTCGATTCGATTCATACTGGCCACACAAACACAGATGAAGAGAACAACACAGTCCACTCCAGGAGAGAGACACTAGTGTTACTTCGACGCCAAAACTGTCTGAAAGTGTAAAAGAAAATCTAGGAAAAATTTGGAAAATGTACAAAGATGGGGCAAGCACTGATAATATCTATGTAAATGACGTTATAAGAGGTAAAATTGGGAAAGACTCAACACAAGGAAAATCATCTGAACTCACAGGTACTGATATTAATAATTTACTCAGTTTTGACTCTTAACTGATGTGTGCTGTGTTAAGTGCATAAATAAAGAGAATAATCAGCATGTTTGTTCTTCAGGAAGTGATTCAGTGAGGAATAGAAGCTCCAGAGCAGCTGCAGTGTGTTTGGTGCTGCTGTGTGTTCTTCTGCTGACTGCAGTCATAGTGCTGTGTGTCACATTCACTCAAGAGAGACAACAGCTCAAATCCCAAAATGAAAACCTGACCAATGAGAGAGAACAGCTAAAAAATGAACTTCAGATTCTTGGTAAAGTTTCTTTACTCTTTGTAGTTATTTGCGAAATAAATAAATAACACAAATAAAATAAATCTCTTCATATAAACATACGAAGACTTTGTCTGTGCTCTTTCCTTTTAAAATTAGAGGCAACCACTGCATTTTAATCATGATCCAAACAAAGATGCTGCATACATGCAACTTGAGCAGTTTTTAATCTAAATTAGATTGTATAATTTCGAAATTTGAAGTCTTTTCATTAAAAGCTCTGATTGCTGCGTCAATGATGAAACATTCCTCTAACAACCACGAATGGTGGACAGTGATGGACCTCAAATTACACTGCATGCAGATGTTTCTTTTGTTTGTATAATTTTAAACTTATGAAAGAATGGAATAATTTATATTGCTTATTATTTTTTACACAAAAAAATCCTTAATACCAGAATTTAAGAATTGTGTAATATATCAGAAAAAAGTGTTTTAATTTGATTCCATTTAATTGAACTGCACTACAGACATCAAAAAATGTTTAGGATTTGTTTTCCAGCAGCAGCCACTGTCAAAATGTACAAGCCCACAATGAATGAGGACAATACATAATTATGTCTTAATATATGCTTTTAAATTCCATTAAAATGAACCAAATCCACATGGTAGAGAGAAAAAAAGTGCTTCTGCAGTGAGTTTAAGTTCCTTTCTGTATAAATACTGACGACACAAACACAGATGAGGAACACATACAGTCCACTCCAGGACAGAATCCAGTGTTAGTTTGTCAGCATCTTGACAACGCCAAAACTTTCTGAAAGTAGAAAATATTGAAAAACTGAGAAGATGTACAGAGAAGATGGGGAAAGCACTGAAAATATCTACACAAATTATGTCATACGATGTAAAGTTGGAAAAGATTCAATGCAAAGAAAATCATCTGAACTCAGGTACTGATATTAATAATTCAGTTAATATCAGTAATATAACAAATAAAACAATAACAAAGTTTTGATGCTCTCAACTGATGTGTGCACAAATAGAAAGAATAACAGCATGTTTGTTCTTCAGGAAGTGATTCAGTGAGGAATAGAAGCTCCAGAGCAGCTGCAGTGTGTTTGGTGCTGCTGTGTGTTCTTCTGCTGACTGCAGTCATAGTGCTGTGTGTCACATTCACTCAAGAGAGACAACAGCTCAAATCCCAAAATGAAAACCTGACCAATGAGAGAGAACAGCTAAAAAATGAACTTCAGATTCTTGGTAAAGTTTCTTTACTCTATGTAGTTATTTGCTATCCACCTTGTTTTTAAAATATTTGTAAGCTAAATGTGTCCGGCTTCTGGTGTGATCCGCATCCACTAATTACAAAACAGCTCTTTATACTGCTTGATTTTGCAAACTGGTTCTTCTTATACTATTTTGGTGTATTGTTCTAATTATAAACAAACTAGTCTGTAGTGCAAATTGTTTTACCGTTTACTGCTTTTATTTTTTCTTATTCTATTCCATATCGAACATTTACAGAAAATAGCTCGCTTCCACTTTGAAAAAAAAAAAAATAGGTGGATACAGCAGATATTTCTAAAGAATGACATTTTTAAGTTGGGTTGTGGTTTCGGTAACTTTCAGTGTATACAATCTATGAGTATTTGTTATAAGTTACAGAGAGATGATTGTAAAAGCTAACCGCTGAACTGGTTGTGTTTACAGATGGATGGATTTACTATCAATTCAGTTTTTACTACATGTCCAATGAGACGAGGAGCTGGACTGAGAGCAGAGGATACTGTAACGAGAGTGGAGTGAAAATGTGAGTGAAATATTTTAGTTTTATATGAATTTATAGTGTTTAGCAGCTAAATGTAAGATGGTCAGATGAAATGTGTTTATTATCTGTTTATCATATAAATGTGTAATTGTTTAATCTGCTCAGGATTTTGTTAAGAAAATGTTTGGCAGTACTACAGCCTATATTGGTCTGACTGACAGTGATGTGGAGGCCAGATGGAAATGGGTTGATGGCACCAACATGACCTCTGGGTGAGAAATCACTGAACTGAACTGATTATTATCTAATAAATGATTCTCACAGTCAGTATCATATCACACAGAAAGCAGCACTGAACATCTAATGCTGATCTGTATTTTCAGGTTATGGGGGCTTGGAGAGCCAAATGGATACATAACAGAGAACTGTGGTTTACAAAGATGGGGCAAGCACTGATAATATCTATGTAAATGACGTTATAAGAGGTAAAATTGGGAAAGACTCAACACAAGGAAAATCATCTGAACTCACAGGTACTGATATTAATAATTTACTCAGTTTTGACTCTCAACTGATGTGTGCTGTGTTAAGTGCATAAATAAAGAGAATAACAGCATGTTTGTTCTTCAGGAAGTGATTCAGTGAGGAATAGAAGCTCCAGAGCAGCTGCAGTGTGTTTGGTGCTGCTGTGTGTTCTTCTGCTGACTGCAGTCATAGTGCTGTGTGTCACATTCACTCAAGAGAGACAACAGCTCAAATCCCAAAATGAAAACCTGACCAATGAGAGAGAACAGCTAAAAAATGAACTTCAGATTCTTGGTAAAGTTTCTTTACTCTTTGTAGTTATTTGCTATCCACCTTGTTTTTAAAATATTTGTAAGCTAAATGTGTCCGGCTTCTGGTGTCATCCGCATCCACTAATTACAAAACAGCTCTTTATACTGCTTGATTTTGCAAACTAGTTTTTCTTATACTATTTTGGTGTATTGTTCTAATTATAAACAAACTAGTCTGTAGTGCAAATTGTTTTACCGTTTACTGCTTTTATTTTTTCTTATTCTATTCCATATCGAACATTTACAGAAAATAGCTCACTTCCCCTTTGAAAAAAAAAAAAAAAAAGAGGTGGATACAGCAGATATTTCTAAAGAATGCCATTTTTAAGTTGGGTTGTGGTTTCGGTAACTTTCAGTGTATACAATCTATGAGTATTTGTTATAAGTTACAGAGAGATGATTGTAAAAGCTAACCGCTGAACTGGTTGTGTTTACAGATGGATGGATTTACTATCAATTCAGTTTTTACTACATGTCCAATGAGACGAGGAGCTGGACTGAGAGCAGAGGATACTGTAACGAGAGTGGAGCAGATCTGATCAGCATAAACAACAGAGAGGAAAATGTGAGTGAAATATTTTAGTTTTATATGAATTTATAGTGTTTAGCAGCTAAATGTAAGATGGTCAGATGAAATGTGTTTATTGTCTGTTTATCATATAAATGTGTAATTGTTTAATCTGCTCAGGATTTTGTTAAGAAAATGTTTGGCAGTACTACAGCCTATATTGGTCTGACTGACAGTGATGTGGAGGCCAGATGGAAATGGGTTGATGGCACCAACATGACCTCTAGGTGAGAAATCACTGAACTGAACTGATTATTATCTAATAAATGATTCTCACAGTCAGTATCATATCACACAGAAAGCAGCACTGAACATCTAATGCTGATCTGTATTTTCAGGTTATGGGGGCTTGGAGAGCCAAATGGATACATAACAGAGAACTGTGGTGTGGTTGTGGATAATGACCCAAGGTGGCCTACTCTATTTGGGTGGCATGATATTTTATGTAATACAGATTTACAGTGGATCTGTGAGAAGACGATTTCACAACTCATATTGCCATAGGAACATCACACATATTTTTGACAGTTTTAAAGCTAAACAGTACAGAACTTTTGTAATAACTGATCATCATCTAAAGCAGTGTTTCTCAACCTTGTTCCTAGAGGATGCCCTCAACTGCACATTCTGAATGTCTCCTTTATCAGACACCCAGTTCATGTCCTGTGAACAGTTGCATAAACTGCTTAGGCAGATCTTAAAAGTTAGCCATCTAATTTTTGCTGCAAGACTGTTCACAACTTTTTGAAATCAGTTACATAAAAACAAAAATTGCTGTGTGTCACATTCACTCAAGAGAGACAACAGCTCAAATCCCAAAATGAAAACCTGACCAATGAGAGAGAACAGCTAAAAAATGAACTTCAGATTCTTGGTAAAGTTTCTTTACTCTTTGTAGTTATTTGCTATCCACCTTGTTTTTAAAATATTTGTAAGCTAAATGTGTCCGGCTTCTGGTGTCATCCGCATCCACTAATTACAAAACAGCTCTTCATACTGCTTGATTTTGCAAACTAGTTCTTCTTATACTATTTTGGTGTATTGTTCTAATTATAAACAAACTAGTCTGTAGTGCAAATTGTTTTACCGTTTACTGCGTTTTACCGTTTACTACTTTTTTTTTTTCTTCTTCTTTTACATAATAAACAATAATAGAAGAAAACAGCCTTCCTCTTTGAAGAAATAAAATAAAATAGGTGGATACAGCAGATATTTCTAAAGAATGACATTTTTAAGTTGGGTTGTGGTTTCGGTAACTTTCAGTGTATACTGTAAGGGAAACAGGTCAATAATTTAGCTCAAAGGGAATCATTTAAGATTTTAAAGGGAACTCCACCATTAATATGCAAGGGAATTAGGACAGAATCACTGTTTTACGGTTGATCACTGAGACGGCCAGCTGGACTGAGAGCAGAGGATACTGTAACGAGAGTGGAGCAGATCTGATCAGCATAAACAACAGAGAGGAAAATGTGAGTGAAATATTTTAGTTTTATATGAATTTATAGTGTTTAGCAGCTAAATGTAAGATGGTCAGATGAAATGTGTTTATTGTCTGTTTATCATATAAATGTGTAATTGTTTAATCTGCTCAGGATTTTGTTAAGAAAATGTTTGGCGGTACTACAGCCTATATTGGTCTGACTGACAGTGATGTGGAGGGCAGATGGAAATGGGTTGATGGCACCAACATGACCTCTAGGTGAGAAATCACTGAACTGAACTGATTATTATCTAATAAATGATTCTCACAGTCAGTATCATATCACACAGAAAGCAGCACTGAACATCTAATGCTGATCTGTATTTTCAGGTTATGGGGGCTTGGAGAGCCAAATGGATACATAACAGAGAACTGTGGTGTGGTTGTGGATAATGACCCAAGGTGGCCTACTCTATTTGGGTGGCATGATATTTTATGTAATACAGATTTACAGTGGATCTGTGAGAAGACGATTTCACAACTCATATTGCCATAGGAACATCACACATATTTTTGACAGTTTTAAAGCTAAACAGTACAGAACTTTTGTAATAACTGATCATCATCTAAAGCAGTGTTTCTCAACCTTGTTCCTAGAGGATGCCCTCAACTGCACATTCTGAATGTCTCCTTTATCAGACACCCAGTTCATGTCCTGTGAACAGTTGCATAAACTGCTTAGGCAGATCTTAAAAGTTAGCCATCTAATTTTTGCTGCAAGACTGTTCACAACTTTTTGAAATCAGTTACATAAAAACAAAAATTGGTCTAATTTGAATCCAAAAAGTAAGACTGATTACCACTTGGTTAATTGTTTGTTAGTCAAACTAGTTCTTAAGACAGTCTAAATATAGTGACTGTTTATGAAACCAACCTCTGGAGTTTCTTCTAATGAGCTGATGAGTTGAGCCAGGTGTTTACTTAGAGAGACATACAAAATGTGCAAAACGGGACTCCAGAAGTGTTTCA